AGTATAGTAACGAATAACGTCAGATCTTTGTTTTTATTTTTGTTTTAGGTGTCAAGACTTTATCAAGACTGAAGCTTATTAATGAGTTTGTTTGACTTTGAAACCTTGATAAGAAAATAAAAGGTTATCATTATCATCAGCGGTATCACATTGCATCAATAATTAATAATAACAGTCTCACACGACCTAAGCCTAACTTTATTGAACAAACAACATAAACAAATAAAAGATGCTAACTGTTCTGATAGACGTGCTTCAGCCCCAGTTTTCCCTCCTTTTTTTCACCTTTTGTGTGGAAACCAAAAGTTAAAGAAAATATGAATCATATCACATGTCTGCAGACGGACTTTAAGGACCTTGTTCTGGTTTTGCTGCTCCATGATCTTCCTGTAGGACGGCTGTTTGGCCAGCAGCTTTCCTCCAGCGCTCTCGCAGGATTGGACTTCATGGTGCTGAGGGCGGGGCAGATCCCGGGGGTGAGGTAGAAGTACTTCCCCTACAAACATCCATCACAACAAAACAGTCAGTCAGTGAGCGACAGGCCTGCGTGAGCTCCAGTGAAAACCAGAGGAGAACTGAAGGGTGAAGTCCGTGTCTGACCTTGAAGAGCCGAAGAGCACCGCTGGGCTCTCTTCAGTGACTCCTCCAGACTGAAGCCAAAACAACACCTCCGCCTTCGGCATCCCTCAGAGTGTGACTCTGCTCATCTGCCAAACACACACACACACAGCAACACATTAGACTAAGTAGTGAGAAAACACATATTGGTTTATATTTCTAGGCAGTGAGGAAAAAGTCCCAGCAGGATTTCACAGGCCTTTTTTTAGGATTGTTGCAGCTAAAACACCTGATTTCACAGGCAGCTTTTTCTAAAAAGTTGAGATGTATTTAGACCGTTTTTTGTTTTTTTTTTTTGCAATGAAACTGCAGGAGAAAATAAAAATCACAATAATTTTTTTTTTCTTTTTGTATAATTCTTTAAAAATGGAAGACAACTTAGACAACTAAATCCAGGTGAGTGCAGCTGGTGAGCCAGTCTTCATGAATCTCAGAGGGAAAAAGAAGAAGAGATTCTGTCTGAATCACAGGGAGAGCTGATCTTTATAATCACCTCATCAATTTATCAATTCCCCCCCCAAACGATTTCTGCCAGTGAAACAGTTTGATCAGAGTGAACGATGGATGAAAGGATGTTTTCTGTCTTTTCATCTTTACCAACGATTTAAGGAACTCAATCAATAACTGTGACCACGTGTTTTTCTCAGCTCTCTCCATGACAGACTCTTCAGTGATGATCGGATCTTCAAGCTCTTCAAACGTAGATAAATAAACGTGATCATGTGACTGTAGATATTTTATTTCCTCTGGAGAATAAACGTAGTGGAGCGTCGTTCCAGAGGGGAAAAAAAAAAGTTTTCAGTTTATTCTAATTCTTTCCAGTAATATTATCAGTATTGAGTTATGGCCAAAAATGTGTTTGAAGTCAAGTGACCTTTGACCTTAAAACGTCAGCCTGGCGTTCTTGAAATATTGTGTTCACAAGAACATGATGTGACATATACATACCCACAAACTTCTGGCTCCTCCAGCTCTCCTCCAGCCACTCCGGGCTGACGATGTGTTTGACCACAGACATGGCGGTGAGGAACTTGACGGTGCGGGTCACTTTACTGGCCACCAGGTGAGTCACCTTCTGACTGCTGTCTGCTACCTCACCACCCAGAGCATGTAACCTCTGCAGGGGAGAAGACAGAAGACAGACGCCATCAAACACAACGTTTGAAGAGAGCCGACGGCTGATTCAGTCCCGTCCTGTTGGAATGAGGTAAGTCTGAAGCCGATGTGGATCAGAGCGGCGGCAACACGTCATCAGACTGACTTTACCTTTGTGTACTGCTGGACTTGAGGAGGCTCGAAGCCTGTGAACATGACTCGAGGAGTGGACTCTGGAGGAAGCTTCTTACTGGGGCACTGGATCTCCTCCAGTCTGCACACACACACACACACACACACAATAATATTAACTGTTGCATGGTTTGTCTGGACAGCTGATGTGTGGGTCACCTGACTGCACCTGTACTGACCTGGCCTTCTTGTTCGGAGGCTGGTTGGTGGCATCAGAGATCTTCTGCTTCTGCAGCAGCTGGAGATTCTGCACAAACACAACAGACACACAATCAGACGAGCCGCTGTCTGCTGTGTGACCCACGACCTCCAGTCCGACCGGGTCAGACAGTTCGTCTTTTATGAGTGAAGGTTTAAAGTTCTAATCTGTAACTTCTCCACATTAAAATGTCTACAAACATCTGGACCTGTGTGTATGTTGTTGACTTGTGTTCTGACATCATCACAAATGTTTCCATCAATTCTCAAACCAGAGAAATCTGTGATTTTAATCATGGTGACGTTTCATTGGTCGCCTGTCGATGACATCATATCCTCTACGATCATGTGTCAGTGTGTTTGTCTGACAGAAGCTCAACATTGACTTTTATCTAGTTTTAAGTCAGATACGCTTTTTACACCTCGGTGGTTTTCAGCTCGTTATTTGAACCAGATGATTTTAGTCGTCGGACGTCTGGATCTGAAGTTATCAGAGAAACAAGCCGAGGAAACGTTCGACAGCTCAGCTCCCAGACGTCCTGTGTCCGCCAAACTGCATTGATGAATTGCTGATTTTTAAAGGTAAAGTGTTTTATTCAGTGTTTCTCCTGGTTTTAACCCCCTGGTGTGTTTGTTGTGGAGAGGAGGAAACCTCTGAGGATCATTCAGCTGCTGGTAAAAACCTGCTGAACGTCTGGTTCATAATATCAGAGAAACAATCAGAACAAAGGTTAGCGACAAACTCACCGCCACAGCTTCAGGAGACACTTTGATCGGCGTCCTCCAGGCAGCTACAGAGAAACACAGTGACATCGTATTGTTTTTTTTTTAACCCAGATCTTTCTCTGTTTAATCATCTTGATCCTGTCACTATCTTTCTAATAGTCTTAATTAGTGATGCCACATTCAGCTGTACTTACCCAGCAGGTTCTGGACCAGCTGTGGGTTAGGCACCAGTGGTTCAGGGTGTGTGTAGATGGAGTATCTGCTGTGCTGAATCTGTCTCAGGGCTTCGAAGTTGCCCAGCAGTATGTCACACAGCCACTGGGCATTCACACAGGGGATCTTCCACTCCTTGGCCTTCTCATATTTCAGTCCGCTGGGTCTGAAAGAGACCAGCGGGAAAACCTCATCACCAACACTGATCTTTCTCCAGCACGGGTCAACGTGGGCTCGCTCAAGACCGGCGGTGCAGATCCTGATGTCTGACACACAACACACAGATCTACAGGAGAGTCTGACTGTATGTGACACACAGACAACAGAGAACCGGTCCTTGTTGTGTTGGAGACTGTAATCTGATTTTAATAGTGACTGTAGTTCGACTGTCGTCAGGCTGTAATCTGATCGTAAACGTGACTGTAGTTTGACTGTAATAGTGACTGTAATCTGACTGTAGCCTGAATGTAATATGACTGTAATCTGACTGTAATCTGACTGTAATCTGACTGTAGTCAGGCTGTAATTCTGACAGCACAGATCAAAACTGTCATGTTTGTCTCCAGCTGAATGTTGAAGTCGCCACCCGATGCTTTAATCTCTGATCTCTACCACAGGTTGAGAACGTATTGTAAATATGGATTTCATACAGTGGTACAGTTCATGGAGTATTCAACAGAAGTACTAATCACAGTAGAAAGGTGGTAGCTGGTATCTATCATTTTCTACAGGATACTCCCACAAAGATCTCCTTCAACCCCCCAGTCTTACTCTTTACAGATGAGCACTGTGTTACTGCGACACAGGTATCCAGTGTATCTGGCTCCCGCCAGGTAGGCCATCAACTTCAGGTCGTCTCTGTCGGCATCCACAAACCCTGTCACTGATATAATCTGAGAACACAGATAGCAAGGGAGAACAGGTGAGAGAACAGTCAGAGAACAGTCAGAGAACATGTCAGAGAACATGTCAGAGAACAGGTGAGAGAACATGTGAGAGAACATGTCAGAGAACAGTCAGAGAACAGGTGAGAGAACAGGTATTGATCCTGCTGCCCCACAGATTTCAGGCGGGTTCCAGACGGTGACCTACGTGCTGAGAGCAGGGCTTGGCTCCAGGAGGGAAGGCGAAGGGCAGATGTAGCGTCCGGTGAGGAGGAACCATCCTCTTCCTCTTCAGGACAGTGTTGAGCCAGTGGGCGGTTACACAGCGTTTCCCCTCTCTGAGCGCCTGGCAGAGACAACACCACACATCAACACCTGTCTCAAACATGACGTGAACCGCTCCACGGAGCAGAACAGTGACATTCAGTCTTCACACACTGTTCATCTTCTCCTGACGACGTCTGCTCTCTGAGAGTTTTCATGCTTAGATATGAAAAACAGACCGACTCACCACACGCATGCTTACCTGTACATACATGTTGCTGACTTGGCTCTCACACAGCAGGTGTGTGCAACGGCCGGTCAAGGTGGGGTCGACAGCACCTCCACACGCCTGGATGACCTGAGGGAGGAGTTCACTAAACATCAACTAATACACAACATCTGTGACCTTTGTTTGTTTTTTTAAATCATCAACAACAACATAAACTGCTGCTACAGAGTGACAGAGTGACAAGGTGACAGGGTGACTGAGTGACAGGGTGACAGAGTGACTGAGTGACAGGGTGACTGAGTGACTGAGTGACAGAGTGACTGAGTGACTGAGTGACTGAGTGACTGAGTGACTGAGTGACAGTGACTGAGTGGCTGAGTGACTGAGTGACAGCATGACAGAGTGACAGAGTGACAGAGTGACAGGGTGACAGGGTGACAGGGTGACAGAGTGACAGAGTGACAGAGTGACAGCGTGACAGGGTGACAGAGTGACAGAGTGACAGAGTGACAGCGTGACAGGGTGACAGACTGACAGGGTGACAGGGTGACAGAGTGACAGAGTGACAGAGTGAGAGTGACAGAGTGGCTGAGTGGCTGAGTGACAGAGTGACTGAGTGACTGAGTGACTGAGTGACTGAGTGACTGAGTGACTGAGTGACTGTCTTACCCTCTTCCATGTGGCCAGCAGCTGTTTGTCAGCCATCTGTTCTGGGTAGTCAGCAATAGCAAACACACAGCCGAGCAGGAAACCGTCCTGTGGGACTGAAGTTTAGAGCAGAAGAAGTTAAAGACCTTTTAACTGGACCTGAACCTGAACCTGGAGTTTTTAAATTTTAAACAGAATCTAAACTCACACCTTGTAACAGGCAGTTTTTATTGATCTAAATCTAAAGATCTTTTTCTCCGTTTCAGTTCCACCTGAGACTTTGAGACTTTTTTCTCGCCCAGTATCAGAGCTTTTCCAAATAATATGTCTGTTCAAACTTCAAAGTATTTTTATTGTATAATGGTGAAACTGACACAAGTGGAGCGCTAATCGGCTTCGAGAGCTGATGGCGATTATCTCAAAATACCAAAGATTGGCTGATTGATCAGTCGACCACTAAACTTAACGCAACCGTATCTATGTGACTTTAAATGCCAGTATTATCGATCTGCTGTCGTCATTAACCTGGATGTACACAAGTCAACACAGTATGTAGTATGGATGTAGTCCAATCACATGGCTCTAATACACATCTCAAATATAAAGTAAGAATTGTAGTTTCACCTCTCTCCTTCTGTCCATAGACATGCTCACTCGCTCGCTTTTAGTTCCCTCTCTCTCCCTGTCTCTCTATCTCTCTGAGGAGCTGGTTAAATGAACTTCAGACATCTGAATGATGAAATTCATTTCCATCCCTGATAAAGACAAGAAATAAATCCTAAACTCGACAGAGCTTTTGTTCTTCCACCAGTTCCAAATGTAAATACGAACACAGTGATCGTGGTCAGTCCAGCACACTGGTCCAGACTCACAGTACTGTTTCACTGTGGACCAGTGTGTTAGACCAGTAGAACACAGTGCAGCCTGGTTGTACTCACTTTCTTGTCCCAGTTCGTGTCCAAACAGCTGGGAGACGTGAGGAGGCTGCTGCAGCTGAGGCTGCAGCGTGGTGGTCTGCTGCTGCAGGACCTGCTGGTTCTGATGCTGCAGAGTCTGCTGCTGCTGCTGATTCTGCAGGTGCTGCTGCTGCTGCTGCATCTGCTGCATGTGCTGCTGTTGTAGGAAATGCTGCTGCTGCTGCTGCTGCTGTTGCTGCTGCTGCTGCTGCTGCTGCTGTAGATGCTGTTGGTGTAACTGCTGTTGATTCTGCTGTTGCTGCTGTTGCTGTAACATCTGCATACGTTGCTGCTGCTGGAACTGTTGGAGCTGTTGTTGCAGAGCTTGTTGCTGCTGCAGCTGCTGTAAACCAGGCCGCAGGAGCTGCTGCGGCCGCAGCTGCTGCTGGGAGAACGCATGCTGCTGCTGCTGCTGCTGTTGCTGCTGTTGTTGTTGCTGCTGCTGCTGCGAAAACATCTGTTGGTGCATTTGCTGCTGTTGTTGCAGGAACTGTTGCTGCTGTTGGGGCAACTGTGGGAACCCTTGTTGCTGCGCAACCTGAGGCTGCTGCTGTTGTTGATGTTGTTGCTGTTGTTGTTGCTGTTGGTGATGTAGCTGCATCATCTGATGCTGCTGCTGGAGGTGCATCATGGGATGCTGCGGTTGCTGTGGTGGCTGTTGATGCTGCTGCTGCTGGGCAGCCTGGTGCGACTGTTGCTGTTGCAGTAACTGTTGCTGCTGCTCTGCTGTGAGGGGCTGGCCGGCCAGTTTGGACTGACTGAACAGAAGAGGGTTGGTGCTGTTGGGGGTCTGAGCGTGGCTCTGATTAGGCTGCTGCTCCAGTGGCTTTGTCTGATTGGCTGTCAGATTCTGGATGATCTGCAACAGAGGACAAAGAAAAAGAAGTTAGAGAAAATACTGGCATAAACGATGTGAGTGTTTTCATGCTGGTCATCACTCATCCATATTCAGTTCCATCAGAATGATATCAGTGTTGACACGTGGCTCTTGTTGCCTCAGCGACAGCAGACACGGAGAACCTGTTCTAAAACAAGGATTTCTTACGTGTGCTACGTTGGCAGGTCGATTAGCTGGCTGCATGTCAGAGTTGTTAGTGATGTTGCGGAGGGTTCTCGCAGCTGGACTCCACCCAGGGATTCCCTCTGGAACTGACAGACCTAAAACAGAAAGAGGTGAAACCTTCAGCAGCAGGATTCTGGGTTAGAAACAAGGAGCACAACAAAAACTAACATTTATCCATTTAGAAAAGTAGGCTCACATAAAAATAAAAAGTTGCGCCTTCTTTCTAAAGAATCTCAACCTGCAGAGGAACTTCTGTGTCGCAATCTTTGGTAACACATTTGGTAAAACATTGTGTAAACTCAATCCAACTGAACCGTCCGGACACAGTCGCTCACAAACATAAATTCATGCTGTAAGCAGAGAGACGTTACCAGGGAATTTATACGATTTATTATTTCATTATTATTTCTGCTTAATACTTTAACCAGCAGGAGTATTAATACATAAGTCCATCAACTTATCTCCAACTTACAGCCATGATCCACTTTTTAGAAGCTACAGATGATCTGACTCTTTCTGCCTGGAGTCCCAGACACGCTGTGAGTCTGACCGCTGCTTAGACTCAAACAGCCAATCAGAATACGACATGAAATAATGACAAACACAGTTGCCGACATGACGCTGGTAGCACCATTTTCAGTTGCTAATGCTAACGTTAGCTATGTAGCAATAGCAAAACTTACACATAGCTCCTTTAAATGAAGTTTAATCAAAAACTAGCTTGTTTTTTTGCTTGTATTTGGTGGATGGACGACATTTCCACTTCAATGCTACAACATCACACAATGTGAAGCTCCACAAGCCTGGGAGCACCTGACAGGTCAGTATTACCACGCAGGATGTAGTCCTGACATACTGACCCTGCTGTGTGCTGTGACTAATGGCGGCAGCAGCAGAGCGAGCCTCTGCAGGTATGGCTCCTCCGCTGCCAGGTACAGGAGGCACAGTGGCACACAGGTTGATGAGCCCACTGCCTGTAGATGACACAGGGTCTTTGCTGCCGGGCGGCCCGCCTCGCCGTCTGGCTGTGCCGGTCGGAATAGGCGGTGTCGGCGTGACAACTTCAGCTGGCGTCCAGTTGAGGTTGGTACCCTCCTTCTCTGTGGACGAGTCATCATCGGAGTCATCGAACATGCGCTCGCTGCGGCGCTCCGGTTTCTTGGGCGATGTCGGAGACACAGAATTCAGTTTTTTGGGTCCTGGTCGTCTGCGGGGGCTGGACTCCTCGCCTGACGAGCCGCCGCTGGACATCCGGGATCTGTAGCTTCCATCTGATTGGGAGTGCTGGTCATATGACTCTGCTTCGCTCTCCTCCTCTTCCTCAGGCTCCACGTACGTTAGTCTGGGGTGATAGAGCGCCTCATCCTTCTTGCTTTTGTCTGGAAAAGAGGAAACGAATCAGTCGTTTTGTATCCACTGATGGATTTGTGTGATCGGAGAGATGAGTTTTTGTTGGAAACACATATTATATATTATTGTAGTTTCACGCCTTTAAAATAAAGGATGTTGCGTAACACCTTACATTCAACCATTTACATAATTTATACCTAATTCATCTGTCAACCATAAAGGTAGAGGGTCACTACACAGAGCAGTGATGGTGTCCAACATTATTTTTCAGCTGACGCATTTATCAGTTGACCATTTATTATAAGTGCTATAGAGCTACACTGATTAATCAATTAATCAATTAGTCGACAACAAATATTCTGTGTGAGGATTTTCTCTGACATGTTTGACAGTAAACTGCTTATATTTCAGGTTTGGTCTGTTTGTCTGTGAACCGAACATGGAACAGAATTATTCATTAGTTTATGACATTGGACAGACCAGACAATTCATTGATTAATTGAGATAGTAATTGGTAGATTAATAGTAGCTCTACTATGGAATAGTGATGTCACGATACCAGACATCACGGTGTGAAAATATTCATTAAAAACTGTGTTGTACTGTGACGGACTGAACCTTGACGACTGTAGCTGCTTACGTTGACGTTGTGAGCTGTCTGTATGTCAGCCTAAACAAGCTAACGTTAGCCTCTGTGAACGTTGTTTGTGTGGAGCGTTGTTACAGGATGTCAGCTGTCATAATTCACAAACAGTAACAGTAACATTTCAGGACGTGAACATGACGACATGTTGCCGATATAACGTGAAACTCACTCAGCCTGAACAGTTGTACAGACATGATGTCTGTCTCTGAGCTGCTTCCTCCTGTGACACCGTTTACATACAACGACCTGTTGCTGCACCACATGTTGTTGTTATTGTTTACTGTGCCTGTCTTCTTCTTCTCTCCTGAGTTTGATGTCAGACTAGAACGGCTGTAGTGTTATTATACTGCTCTCATCAGTCCTGTTAGACTCACGTCTTCAGTACCTACAACATCTACAGAACCTCCAGTACCTACGGTCCTGCAGAAAAACAAGTACAGTCACGTTTTGGTATCAACTTGGTACCAAAGTCTCGGTTCTCATGAGATCCCTCCTACAGACACACATCTACAAAACTCAGTGAGAGCACCATGTAATCAGTATAATCTGGGACCTGAATATAAACTACATCAGACTGGAACATTACCTTTAACAGAGTCTGTGATCCAGTCCAGGGTGACGATCTTGATGCCAGGGTGTTTCAGGGCACACTCAAACTTGGCCTGGAGGGAAAAATACAACAAAAACACACATTGTATAATCAGATGAATCCGTTCAGATGAACATAACATTTCATTTCATTTATTTCATCTACAAAATCTGTTTTTCTACATCAGCACTGACGGTGAAGATCGATAATTCTGACTGAATTAGTGCCGATCACCTTCAGGTCACACACTCACCCCCTTTGGTTCCTTCACCACTAAGTGGGTGACCTTCTTGTTGAGGTTAAGCTGACATTCTCCTCCATAAAAGGTAACGTAAGCCCACAGGGCATTGAGATCATCTGGAAGCTACACACACACACGCACACACAGAAAAAAATACAGGAGAATCAAAACTGGATGTTGCTCTTCAAATCTGAAGATATGTAAACTTACACACTGTACACACTTACCCTGGGAAGACAAGCTGTCACACCAAAGAAAATCTGTCCTGATTCTGGGGAGAATCCAGTGACTCTGTGTTCAGGGTTAAAGTAACACACTGTAATAATGTAAAGCTGCTTTTATTCTTGTATATTTACAAACATTTGAGTCCATTAATTCTCTGGAAAACCATCTCTGATATTGCAATCCCTAAACATGAATAATCACTTGTATTGTTGTTTTGTTGAAGGATACGGTAGCAGGTCTCCACAGCGGACTGAGAGGATCACCCAGGACGGCTGGAAAACATAAAGGGAGCGAAAAGTTAAATCTTTCTCATTCACTGTTTGACTGAGGTCAAAAAACAAAACCGTTACCTCCCACAAGCTGTGAATAACCATCAGCACATTTCTGTTAATGTGCATTCAATTATTTTTTTGACATTTTGGGAAATGTGCTTTTTTTGTTATCCAGCTGTTTCCAGTCTTTGTGCTAAGCTACGCTAACTAGCTGCTGGGTGTAGCTTTATTTTACCTGACAGACATGGGAGCTGCTGGTTTAAACCCCACCCACCAAATGAAAACATACAGCCGTAGGAGACATGATAATGATTAAAAAATTTCAAAATTTCAAAATAGAATTTCAAAAAATAATAAAAATGCCCATTGAGGGACACACAGCCTGACACAGCTTAAATCTGGCATGACTCTTACCTTGACAACGGGCAGGTCAAAAACTTCTCTGGACTCGCCCACCTCAGGGTTGTCCCCATCCTCTGCGATGATGTGGGTGGCCAGGGCATTGTAGGACACCTCCTTCCCTTTTCCCGCTTTCAGCAGCTGCACCACCTGGAGCATCAGCAGACCATTCAGTCAGACTCTACTTCAGTCCAGACTGTCTTCCCACAACACCAGACTCAACACTGGTAAAGGGTCAATGCAATTCTATGGCTATGAAATTCAGGGGTTCAATATCTTGCCCATGGACACTTTGGCATGCCAAAGATCATATAATAGAAAGTTAACAGATAGTAGCAAAACACAAATGTTCTAAACATACTCTAACCTCTTCTAGGAGCTGATGGCAGTTCAACACCCTAACATTCAACTTCTACTAGATATTAGGTATATTATTTGAAGAAAATAAGTCATGAGGTGATGGAAAGAACATGATAATTTCAGCAGGTTTTAAAATGAGGAAGCAGGGTTTTCCTCTGAACGTCAGTTTGAGGAGTTGTTTTCAAAGTTCTGTATCAAAGAGAAAAGTAGAGCTGAATTTCAAAACTAACTTCAACACAGCAAAGATACTCGTGTTCTTCTGTATGCAAGTTAGCGTACGTTCAGGTCGATGCGTCCTCCATCATGTCAACGAGACATCTGTGCAAGCAACACCTGAACAAGCAAACAAGTGGAACCTGGCTCAACCCCGCCTCCTTTAAAGCAACTACCTGCTTGGCTGATCGAACAATGCATTTGCAGAAGGTCTTCCAGTTACATGAAGCAAACAAATCAATAAATCACTGTCACACATTACCGACAGCATCTTTCTTGTGTGATGATGTAGTAAGTAGTTACATGTCTATTACTCACATTCAAATCTTTAGAGGCTGTTGAATGAATGGATTTCAAAGACTGCAGGGGTTCAACAAAGTGTCTGTCACAGCTCAGTGTTCAGTTCAGTGCTCTCTAAACCCTGATGTTTATCTTCTTTGTCCTGCATGTAGCAGCTGCTTTGTCACAGACCCTCTGCCTCAGGCTTCACACATCCTCATATTGTTCTTACTGAAGACATCTATTTGTTAGCGAGGGCCTTGTTTATGTCTTAGATCTGATCCAGTCAGTGTTCTGACTGGGGCAAGGGCAAAAAGAAGGGCAGTGAGAGTGTTTTTCAGCAGCCAGTCAGGTATGAAAACTTTACACAAACAGAACAGGATATGATCCATTAACATCTGGAACTTATCTCCAAAAGCAGCTTGACATTTCTGATGAAAAGTACTTTACTGATTGTTTTCATACTCTTCTTTCTATTGAGCAATAACATGACAAGCTGCCGTATCACCTGACAACGATGTTGTGTCCCACCAATTGTTAGTAAGAAGTTACAGTACTAAGTTGTAGATGAACGGATTCATGTGTTTCTGTATGAAACATGCAAAAATATCTCAAACAGGGACTTGGGGTCACTATTTGGCAGGAAGTCCAGCTCTGTGCCACAGGTCGCCAATACAGACGACCGAAACAGCGGTCACACATGCGCAGTACGCGGCGCACTATGCAGCAGGATGCTAACAGTGACAGGTTGCTGCAGACAGAGTCTGATCGGTTATATATTTACATTTACATGTTTCACCCCGCGTCACATCAGCGCAGAGGTCATTGACAGAGGTGGTACCCAGAGTTAGGAAAAAACGAGCTAACAAACACCAGTTTTAGCACTAGCTTAGCGAGATAAGCCGCAGCCTGTAAGCTTCCAGCTAAATATCTGTGCTAATGCTAAAGTACAGTGCTAAGCAGCTTCTGTACAAAATATTTACAGTCCACGAGTATCACAAACACAAACCTGTACAAGACACAAGGCAGGGACGCTGTTAAACTTTAGTGTCAACTCACTGTTTCTGGTCTAGTCAGCCACATACTTAGCTAGTTAGCTTGTCTTGCAGCACCTCATTCACATTGAATGGTGCTAGCTAGTCGGTATGCTACATACTTAGCTACAAGAAGCTAACGTCCAGAGGCTCACCTTTTGGTCAATGTCCCCCACCACGTAGAATTTGACATCTTTGAAAAGTTCCTCTGAAACAGCATTTTCCTCCTGAGACATGACTGTCCATGAACGTCCCAGGCTTCAGACCGAGGCTGAGAGAGGGAAACGTCGGTGCAGCCGCTGCTTTGGAGCGAACCGAACCCCGGACACACAGTAGCGCCAAACCGCTGAGCGCGCCTTGGACCTCGGCATTCTCTCACACTGCGCGGGGGGAGTCTATTTGTCGATTACTATTGCCTATTCATTTACTTAGGTTTTTAGTGATCTAATGCGTTCTATCGTCTAATGTGGCTCTATATAAAGAGGATTTATCCAGATTACTACTAAAACAGACTTACAGGGACGGGAATGTATAAATATATTTTTATTTGGGACATGTAATCCCCTGTGTTATGACAGTTGGTGTTTTCGTCTAAACGTGTAACCCAGGTTATCTCGTCCAGACGGTGAAGTGAGGACATTTCATTGTTTCGTTGTCATTATTTCATTATTACCTTTGTCAATGAGGTTGTGTTTTCACCCTGTCTGTTTGTTTATCTGTCAGCAGGATTACACAAAAAGTACGGAACTGGATGGAGGGATGGGAAATGGGACGGGGAAGAAGCCATAATATTTTGGGGGCTAGATCTGGATCATTTACTATGAGTTTGATCTGAAGTCTGGTGTATGTGTCTTCAAGTTTTATTATTTAATTGTTTCATTATTTAAAATGTCAATATACAACTTTTTGCTGTCTTATCATTATGTAATAAATGTTTACCATCTCAGTGTGTGATTCATTTGTTTACTACACCAAAGAGAAAAATATGTACCAGACTAAAACTAAAACCTTTTCATGACCGTAGCACGTTTACTGCTTTATTGCTGCTGTCAGACTGTACAACACACACTGCACCCAGTCCAACACACACACCAAAGACTGACAATTCACCATGTGCAATAATTTAACAAACCATCTGTGCTATCTATTGTTTTGTTTTTTGTTATATTTAATTATTTAATTGTACATATTAGGTTATATTATTTATCTTTTTTAAGTATTTCATATTGTCATTTTGCAGTTTTTCTTTCTTTATACTGTTCACTTTGCTGCTGTAATACTGCACATTTCCCTAGTGTGGGACTGCTCTGGGAATATCTTATCTTTACATTTTAACATTAGCACAGCAGGTCCAGGGTCCTGTCTCCTCTGGTAGTCCAGAGGGGGAGAGTCTTGTCCCGGGTTAGGGCTAACCCTCACAGCTTCTGCTTCTTTGCTGATGTGTCTGATTTTCTAACATGTCATTTCTTCTACAATTGGTTCCTGCAGTAGTTAATTACTTCATTCATTAGTGGGTGTCACATCAGCTGTCAGGCGTGTACAGTCCACACAGGTAGATGTGTGTGTGCGTGCAGACACATACGCTGCACGGTGAATCATAGCTGCTTCAGAGCTAAAAGACCTTGACAAACCGAGCTGCAGCAAATTGAGAGCAGTGATTGGGGAATCTCTCTGACAGCTCCATCACTGATGTAGACAGTCACCTTCTGACCTCATTGGTATCCAATGTAGACATTACGGCAGACACACCACCTGTCATTATGCACCATGTCAGTCTTGGTCCTTATTCCCGTGCCCCCACCACCAGGATGAGAGTGAGACACAGCCAGTAGAACAGTGATTGGATGAGCCATTTGACAGCTACATTAATGCCCAGGCTGATCACCTGATGACCATACACCTGTTGGATATAGACGTCTCTCTTTAGGCATGATGAAGGAGCGTAACCCCTGAGGTGTTGCCTCTCTCAGGTATGACAGTTCTATCTTCATCAGTGGATTTGACTCTCCCAGTCTGGTCACTTTATTTCTGCTTGTGTCAATGAGCTGTTGTTAATTCTACAAGAAAAAAAACAGGGTGTTTATCATATTAACACAGTGGTCATAAAGGAATAATGACTGAATAATTGATTCTGAATGAACACATGAGCGAAAGTGTGGATTCAATGAGAGACAGTAAATATTATGACTGAGTCAGAGTTTGACTTTTATCCCGGATGTTACATAAATTTATGAAACAAGGTAAAATATATTCACAACTTTCTCAAGAAATCATTTCCAATCAGTAGAAAAGGTAGAAACATTATTAGATGTCATTTAATTAGACTAAGCACTCCAAACACACACTGCCATTCTCTGACCTCAGTTTAATTAATGGTGCAACATCTTTATGCAAATAACGTGGAGCGTGACTCAATTGTCATTGTACTGTATGTGAATGTTCTAGATGTGTGTGTCATCAGCATCAGTCTGCTCAGTCAGTCCTTCTGTTCTTTACTCATCAACAAATGAAAAGATCAAACCATCACTCTCTGATTTCTCTTTCTGTCATTCTCAGTCCCACTGAGTCTTTAAAATCACCTCACAAATATATAGTTTCAGCAGTGGAATAATCCACATCTGGTGCTGTAGTGAGCATTTACAACAGCAGGAGAGAGAGAGTGTGTAGGTCTGAATAAACTACTAAATAAACTACTGTGTGTGTTCACGAAGGAACATGTCACCCAGTCAACAGTTTAGCTAACTAATGTTAGCTAGTCTCTAACATTAGCTTTAAGTTACAGTTTAGGTAACTAATATTAGCTAGTTTCTAACTTAAGCTCTAAGTTACAGTTTAGGTAACTAATATTAGCTAGTTTCTAACTTAAGCTCTAAGTTACAGTTTAGCTAACTAATGTTAGCTAGTTTCTAGCTAATGTTAGCTAGTAACTAATATTAGCTAGTTTCTAACTTTAGCTTTAAGTTACAGTTTAGGTAACTAATGTTAGCTAGTTTCCAACTTTAGCTTTAATTTGCAGTTAAGAGTTACAGTTACAGTTACAGTAGAGATTTCTTACCAGTAATTATAACTATTACTATATATTTCCCGTATTCATGCTTGGAAGAATCTTGTGATACGATTTCAGACACCCCTAAAGTGGACCGTACCATGTTCTAACCCTAACGTTAAGACTTGTTTACTTACCTACCTCGCGTTAGTGGCTCGCGTCGCGTCGCGTCGGTGCCCCCATGCGACAGTAACGGTGAATGTAAGTGTCAGTATCAAACTATCCTGTTGGTTTAATACACTTTATACTGTCTTACCTTCACAGTTTCTGAATTAGATTGTGTGAAGTATCTACAGATGAACCCTGACGTTATCTTGTTTCTAACTTTAGCCTTGAGTTACAATTTAGCTAACTAATGTTAGCTAGCTTATAGCGCCCATTCGTTTCCAATGTTAGCTTGTCATTTCATTAGCAATATCTAATGTTAGCAAACACTGGTGCTCAGTCACGAGCAGTGAGACGGTTTAGGATTAATTGATGTAGAGATAATTTTGACATCAATATAAAGTTTATTATTAATGTTAATAGTCTTTTGTGTGTCTGTGGTGGTTTAACTAGCCCTTTACCCTTTTAAGTTTTTAGGAAACACCCTCTTTGTTTTCATTCAGGAATTCGGGAGTTTTATCTGGTTTGGTAATTTAACAATTTTTTTTTTTTTTACCTTGAAAATAGTCTAATACAAAAAAATAAATAAATTCATACTCTACAGGATCTTTTCCACAGAATGAATATGTTTCTCACTTCTGAATTAATGGAAAAGATAGGATTCACTCCAGCTGCCCAGCTCTTTGTTAGGTCGATAGTGTTTTTGGTTCTGCTGCAGCATTGTGTGGGTTTGTATTTGAGTGGAAATCATGGTCTGCTGGTGTTGTTTGTGTGTGTGGGTCTGATGTGCTGGCATCATCATCTATAAACTGTAGACATTAAGTTCAACAAGCTTGGTACTGTAAGGATTGTAAGACTTCAATCTCAAATATCTTTAACTTATATTGTGTATAACAGGAAAACTACATAGACACAACGCTTTCTATTTTTAAATCTTTTTCTTTTTATATCATGTTTTTTCTTTTTGGAAAGTGCCTAATATTTTGATCTAATTTATTTTCATAAATTTATATTATATATTGAATTGTTTGTATTCAGATATTCTAAATTATTTATTGTTTTGTTTATTTATCTCTTTTTAAAATTTATTTATTTTTATTAATTCTTCCGTTGAATTGTATCTAAAGTTTAAGACAGTCCACTGTTAAAAAGAAAAAGTGTTTTTTAAAAGTTCAATAAATGTGAGGTGTTTCTAAAGTCAATGAGTAATCGTGTTAAATAATCGCCATCTCAATATTGATCAAAATAATCTTGATTCTGATTCTTGTCTTACCTGACTGTGTGTGTCGAGACGAGTGTGTGTGAAGAAGATGAGCAGCAGCTGTAGAGGAGACTCTTCAGACGGGACACGTTCCTCCATACTTTATCTCTGTAGGTTAAATGTTGTCATTAGACATTTCGGAGCAGCAGCACATGTTAAAACCAGGGTGTTAATTGAAAATGAGAGAATGACCTCCAAGAGGCAGAGTGAAGCCAGAAAGTGTCTAATAGAAAAGTTCCCCAGGGTTTACACACAGTGGTACTTACTGCCACCCAGATTCAATCAGCACCGTCAGATTAACCAGAACAAGCAGAACAGTTTTAATTAGGGCATTCTGAAGTATGATATTTAGCTGGAATAATAATAGCCTTTGCCTGATGGTTGGTAGAGAGTTGATAAGATGTGGTGGGAGAGAAGATAATGGAAAGTAAAAGGAGATGGTCGTCATGCATCAGGTCAAGGTCACAGACGGATAAACTCCAAGATCTTCTGTTTATTCCATCAGTCACACACCCCAGTCCCTGCACTGACATCCAAACAGTCCGAATTCAACATGTGACTCATCAAACACAGTTAATGATGCAGTTTGTTACAAAGCTATATCTGTGGACTATAAACTTACTCACAGTTACATTTATAATCTGTAACTTTTCCATATGAAAACGTCTAAAAACAACTAGTCCTATGTTCTCTATGTTGTTAAGTTCTGTTCTTACATTTTCACAAATGTTTCCAGTAATTCTCAAACCTAGAGAAATACGTAATTTTAATCATGGTCACCTGTCGATGACATCATATCCTCTATGATCGTGTGTCAGTGTGTTTGTCTGACAGAAGCTCAACATTGACTTTCATCTAGTTTAAAGCCACATACACTTTTTACACCTTGGTGGTTTTCAGCTCTATA